TCTTGTCTCTTGCAGATTTAGGGTTTATCCGGAAGCCAGAGATGGGGGTGGGGGTGGTCTCAGGAGCCCCAGCGGGCACTTGGAGTCGCTAAGGAGCATATGTGTCCAGGCCTCTGCCTTTTGTCCTGGGGGGGTCACCAGGAGACTGGGGTCACCAGGGGCACCGAGTTGGGTGATGGGCCCGCTCCAGGTGGCCACAAGGGGGCAGCAGAGGCCTCACCACGGTCTGTGCGGGGGTAACCTTTCTCTTCCCACGCTCAGTGGAAAGGGGGCCCGCGTGCTTACCTGTGACACAGACAGCGAGTGAGGGTCTCTCAGTCTTCAGCCCCAGCCCCTCCTCCCTCGCACCCAGGGGTCCAGGCTCAGCCCCTCCTCCCGCAGACCCAGGCCCCAGCCCTTTCCTCCCTGCAGAGTTGGGGGGCCGGGCCCTGTGAGTGACTCAGGAGGAAGGTGTGAGGGTGAGCGTATTTTCTGACCCGCCTCCCTATGTCCAATTTCTCTCCCGCTTCATTCTCTTCTAGGCTTTTGCATATGCTGTTCCCTCTACCTTTCCCTCTTTGGGCTAAATTGCTCAGGCCCTGGAGGTTTCAGCTCAGTGTTTTTCCCTCCCGGATTCTGCTGGTGGGTGGTGTCTCCTGGGTGGGTCCGCTTTTTAAAAATATATATATATTTTTATTGATTTCAGAGAGGAAGGGAGAGGGAGAGAGAGAGAAACATCAATGATGAGAGAGAATCATCAATTGGCTGCCTCCTGCATGCCCCACACTGGGGATCTAGCCCGCAACCTGGGCACGTGCCCTTGACCGGAATCGAATCGTGAGCTCCAGGTTCATAGGTCGATGCTCAACCACTGAGCCACACTGGCCAGGCAATAAAAATATTTCATAAAACAGTAGACAAAACATTGCAGTCCTCATGGGATTCCAAAAGATGTTACTAAATAAGGTACTTTAAATAGCTTTTTCCCCCTATTACCTCCACCTATTATTAATAATTTTTAGATCAGTTCTAGAAGTTAATCATATTAATGGAACTTATGTTTTGGGGGGTGGGGTGTGCAGACTCAAGGATATTTTTAGGAAGAGAAAAATTTTTGGTCTATTGATTAATCATAGTCCTTTATACCAGAGACCTGAAAATGTCCCTTTATCAAGACTTCATACTAGAAAAAGAGTTGGAAAATGGTGGTCAGGAAAACCTTTTCATTGGACAGATACCAGTCTGTACATAATTCTAAATCAACAAAAGTATTTTCATAAATTGGGATAGAATATTTAAATCCAAATCCCAGCTCTATCACTAGCTAGTTGGTTGATCTAGAGCAGGGGTCCTCAAACTTTTTAACAGGGGGCCAGTTCACTGTCCCTCAGACCGTTGGAAGGCCGGACTATAGTTAAAAAAACAACAACTAGTCGGTTGCTAAGCAACAGGCAGCGGCAAAAACACCCGGCGGGCCGCACTTTGAGGACCCCTGCTAGAGTAAGAAAACAAAAGGAAATAGACAAGGAGACAGATACAGGTGATCCTCATTATTATTATTATTTTAATTCTCACCCGAGGATATTTTTTTTACTTATTTTAGAGACAGAGGAAGGGGGAGAGAGAAACATCAATTATGAGAGAGAACCATTGGTCGGCTGCCTCCTGCACGCCCCCTACTGGAGACCGAGCCCGCAACCCAGGCATGTGCCTTTGATGGAATCGAACCCGGGACCCATCAGTGTGCAGGCCGATGCTCTATGCGCTGAGCCAAACCAATAGGGCCCCAAAAGTCCTTGTAACCCCAGAATCAGCAGCGCTCTTTGTGCGGTTCCAGGTTCCGCGGACATGCGCAGAGCGGCAAGACTTTGAGTTGTCGGTAGTGCTGTTCCCAGCTGAGGTTGAGCAAGAGGACACTTTGCCCTGATTTCAGGTGTCAGGCAGAGCGATGCCCGGAGGACAGACAGGAGGGGGTGGCGCAGCCAAGGGCTCAGGCTCTGGGCCGGTGGAACGGGTTTGAATCTCAGGGCTGGCGCCTGTGGGGGGTGGGGGGCAGCCTCAGGCAATGTATTTATTTGCAAAATCAACAAAATAGAGTTAATTAGTATGAGTTGGTTCTAGGCTTTAAGATGACAATCTATGTTAGATATCCATGTATCTATATATGTGTACATATACATATACGCGCACATACAGGCACCGTCTTAGCCTGTTCCGGCTGCCGTAACAGAAATACCACAGGCTGGGTGACTCACAGAGCAAGCATGTGTCTCTCAGAGTTCTGGAAGCTGGCAAGTCCAGGACCAAGATTCTGTGTGTGGTGCGGGCCGGCTTCTGGCTGTGTCCTCACAGGTGGGCGGGCTGAGGGAGCCTCAGGGGGGATGGGGTTCTTTTCTAGGGCACTAATCCCATTCATGAAGGCCCCACCCTCATGGCTGAATCACCTTCCAAAGCTCTCACCTCCAAACACCATCAATTTAAAGGTTAGAATTTCAACATATACATCTTCTTTAAATCATCACCTGAGAATATGTTTTTATTGATTTTTAGAGAGAGAGAAAGAGAGAGAGAGAGAGAGAGAGAGAGAGAGAGAGAGAATCATCGGTGTGAGAGAAACACATCGATTAGTTGCCTCTTTCAGGAGCCCTGACCAGGGCTGGGCCAGGGAGGAACCTGCAACCAAGGTACTTGCCCTTGGCCAGAATCGAATCCAGGACCCTTTGGTCCACAGGCCGATGCTCTATCCACTGAGCCAAACCGGCCAGGGCAACTCTGCCTCTTGAGATAAACAGTGCACATCCACATATGAAGGCTTTTAGAAGTCCTGGCGGGAGACATCTCTTGTCGGTAGCTTCTGAACAGCAATTCATCCTTTTTTGGCCACCAGCTCTGAGATTTCTGTTTGAGAGACAATGGGCCCCAGCAAATGAATCGCAGTGTTTCCGTGGCCATCAGAGGCGTGCAGTCTCCGGGACCAGGGATGAGCGTGGGTGTGCATGTGACAGTTCCTCTGGCCACTGAGACATCAAGGGGATGGGGCCCTTGAGGGCTTCTGGGAATAAAAAGAGAAGTGTGTGGAGAATGTGCTTCCGTGTTGACACTTCCCTGCTCTCTGTTTGCCCGAGGCTGTGTGAGAGGCTGTGTGAGAGGCTGTGTGAGAGGCTGTG